AAACCTAAAAAATGGGGGTGGGCAAAGAGAGACACGCTTATCTTAGCCTAGCTGTAGCCTCAGGGAGACCTTATTTGGCGACGTCTGAATAACATGCTATGAGGTTGGCTAAAATGCTGCCTCTGGCACATCTCAGGCATCCTCTCCATGCACAAAAGAGACTTGTCCAGTGAGCTGCGTGTATTCTGGAACCTGTGGAGGTGTGTTTACTTTCAGAGTTGTTTTGGATGCTATTTAAAAACCTATAAAACCCTAGGGCAAATGTTTTACATTCGTACCTTTCTGCACTGGCGCAGCGGCGGAGAAGGAGCAACATCTCAGACAGATCTTTGTAGTTTCCCACAAAAATGATGTGATTGGAAAAAGATATGTTTTTGTTTTCGGTTTTGGACTCAACCCGCAGCATACACTGTAGGTTCAGGAGACCGTACACAGGCTGGCTCACCTCCTCTTTCATCTGTTTTCTTTTCAGTGTTTGTCTTTGCGCTGAAAATCCTGGGAATGTCTTCTCTCTGGCTGTTTGCTAACCACACAAATGTGCGGAGCAGAGCTTTAGGTTCGCATGTAACATGGAGACTGGTTGGGGGTCGACCTCAGCTCTGCCCCGACAGGCATTATGAATGCAATGATAACCTGAAAGGAAAACAGAGCCTGGACACTGGAGCTGGGTGGACATTAGGAAAGGTCCAAATACAAAATATTATTGGAGTTTATGAGGAGTTTAATGATGGGTGAAATAAAAGAAACCCAAACCTCTGGTTGTAGAGCTGCTGTTGAACAGAATTTCAAGACACAAAATGGGAATGGGGTAACAACAGAACATTCACATTAGGAAAGTCACTTCCTTAGTGTCAATAACAATGTGTCCCTTTCAAGCAAACTGTCCTTGTCACCAAACATTTTCGCTTCAGTTCAGATAATACAAACGTTATTCCTCGTGAAATAAAATGATCGCAGTAAAAGCTCTATTAAAATACTTTGCCTGAGGTTTGTACAAATACTTACATAAAGAAGTAGTGGGCCAAATAAAACGTGTCTTCTGTAGTAGCATAATTAGCTTCTGTCCAAGTAGATTCTCATTCATCCACATCGTAGTTTTTTATATTTAAATATGTTTCACTTTTAATACAGAACGCTTCTTTTTCACATCTGTGAGACATTTTGTTTATTGTGCTGCAGTATTACAATAATCTAAAGCAATTTGACAAAAAAAACAAACTCTAACACTATGTTTTTAAAGATGTAGTAAAAGTGTAGATCCTGTCATATGCTGCTGATGCAGAAGACACTTCTCCACAGCTGGTGCTCACACACTTCTTGTCAGCCTGCTGCTTCCTATTAAATGTTTGTTTTTTCAGAACCCCCTATTTAGTTTTAAACAAAGCCTTGATGCCCATATGTGGCTCCTCTTCAGTCTCTGTATTTATCAAGGCTTAGTACGAGGAGCGGCGAGTCCTTATGTGCTGAAATGAAGGATGCTAAGTTGATGTTGGTTCACCGTAGATGTAAACAAACAAGATCTGGAATAATTGAATGCGTTGCCTGTAGAAATCCTCAGTAGCGCACCATTGTGTTTCTACCACACGGCACACACTGAACAAATTTAGATCCGTCCATTATTCCAGATTTATTTATGCTTACATTTACTTTTATTCTTGATTCGTTCCCTCCGCCCACAAACATAATGTAGTGATTTTGTTGCCGATAAAATAGGGGAGAAAAAGCTCTCCCTTAAAAAACACATGCCACTCAGTGGTTCTCCATCTATCCATCATGGGCCGTTTTTTTATTTATTTTTTTTTTAGTTTGTTTGGATCTCTCTATACCAACGTAATCTTTTTAAATGTTTTAATTTTGTATAACCCAAAAATAAAATAAATAAACCAGCAAAGCTCGGGATTTCTGGAAAGCAAAAAGGCCCTGCTTTCCAATAAGATCTAACAAGATCCATTACGCAAGCCACTAATAGTCGGATATAATCTGACCTTTGGAGCGGCGGAGCGCTGTGGTTCATGCTCAGGTTTTTAATGTCGAGCGCGCCCTGCATGCCTTTCATCTGAACAAACTTACAGAAGCATGTGTGCTCGCAGCTGTAACTCCTTTGCTGAAGCATGGTTTGGAAGTAGGACACACACACGCACACACACGCACACACTCATATAAATGGACATGTGACGGTGCAGCTTGAACTTGAACACTGAGCAGCCACTGCATCGCTGAGTCTTCGTTGGCATCACTCACGCAGCTTTACAGGGGAAATGTTAGCTTTGCGATATTTTTATTTTAAATTTTTTTTTAATTTTGGCATTTTATTATTTCTTCCACAGCCACTCATCCATATCATGGGCTCAGATGACGAGATGCTACAGGAAGCTGCGGCTGGCTGTGTGCGAAACATCAGACTTCTGGCCGTGGCTAATAGGAAGGCAATATTGTTTTATTGATAATTGATGAGCCTAGAACTTTGGGAAATCCAATAGTGACTGCACAAAAATGGATTAATGGGGAAAGAGGCTAAGCTTAGCAGCTTAGCTGACCCTCCCACTCCCCCAAAGCTGAGATCTGGTTGAGACTGTTAACAAAACTCATTAAAATCATTTTAAATTCCCAAAATACATTCAACTGTATTGAGCAACAATCTGTCAAAAATGCTGTTTCTACCAAATTATATCTCTTATAATTCTTTCTGCTAAAACGAACAGCTTTCTGAAAATCATTAGGTGATTAGGTGGTTTTAAACAAGAACTGACTGATCTGAGAGAGGTTTGAATTAAAACGGTTTGTCTTTGATTGGCTGTTCAATGGGTGTGTGTTTATTTCCCCCCGCTCGCTTCTGTTTAGGTGGCGATTTGCGGTCCGTGCTCCTCATTTAAATCAATTACGTCATCCAAAGTTTGTACAAACATTTACCAATTCTTTTTTCTCTCTCTCTATTGGCCAGCTCTGCTTAAAAACTGTAGTGATAAAAACTAAATGCATCTCTCATATGTTTGTTCTCCTGCCAAAGACCCCCATCCATTGATCAGAGTGAGACACTGCCATGCTGTGTTCTCCGCAGCAGCATTCCTTAAGTAATCCACACGTGACCACAATATCTAAACAAGAGCCACATCTGCTTTGAGTGCGCTGGCTTCTCTTGTAAACGCTGCGTTTATGCTGCACTTGCAACTAATTCCGACTAGGACAACGGAATCTGCAAACGGAATAGGTTTGTAGTTTAATGGCGACAACATAGAGTACAGCGACTCAGCA